GCATTTGCAGCAGCAGCAGCAGAAGCATCAGTACTAGTAGTAGTAGTAGTAGTAGTAGTAGTAGTAGTAGTATTAGTAGTAGCAGCAGCAGGAGTAGTAGTAGTAGTAGTAGTAGTAGTAGGAGGAGTAGTAATAAGCTAGAAGTAAGAGTAGTTGTAGTCGGAGCATTCAGGGCAACAGCACTCGCGAGCATCAGCAGCAGTACCAGTGCCGGCAGCAGCAGCATTCGCAATGATACTGGCGTCCCAAGTCGTTCCAAGAGAAGCAGCAAGGGTAAGAATCACGGCGCTAGTGGCACTCTGACGGGCTGCTCGCAACAAGAGGCGGATAAACACCTGACTTTGGCACTGGCTGTGATCGCAATAACTGACCGGTCTATATAGCAAAAACACTCTTGCGGGTCTTGGCAATGATTGTCAACATAAAGCTAACATATGTTGAGGCTAGGACGATGTTGCTGCTGCAGGTGATAGTACTGATGGGACGATTGCGATTACTTGAGGGTGATGATGTTGATGATTCTGGCGATATAGTGACGGTACTTAGCCCGATAAATCTTGTTCGTGTCGTCCTTGAGCACAACTTCACTCACACTCGCGCTCCAGATGTACGCGGTTTTGGACAAGGCCTCCACTTTGCGAGGGACGCCCGGTCGTTCGCTGAAGGAGATTTCAGCCGTTCCGATGTACAGTATTTTACTTCCAAATCTGAGGGTCCTCAGGCGGAAGAATCAACACCTTCCTTAAGGGCGAGATAGCCCCGAAAAAGGGTTCAAGTTGGTTCAAGGTTCATGTACCATATGGGGAATCGTGGCATGAGGGTAGAGGGCCCCTACTTAATGACGCTTTGGTTCTTAAGGTGCCGAAAGGAGAAGATCGAAAAGCACAGCCCTCGAGCCCCAAACTTATACCCACCCAGCCCTGAATGACAATGCTAAACCTACAAGGTCAACCCTGAACGGTCCTTGGAATGTTGAGGTGACTTAGTGGTGTCTTTGTGCTTGTTTGTGGGGTTCCTTCTTGAGCAATAAGAAAAGGCGCAGCCTGTGTACTACTCCGGTTTCCTGTGTCAGGAAGATGATGATAGTCATGATGATGGTCATGGTGGTGATGACGACTCATTAGTAGAACTGTTGTTTGTGCTAGTTTTTGCTGTTGTTGTTTTCATTCTTTCACAGGGGGAGACTGGCGCAGTACCTGTCCGGAAGCCAGAGCCCTAAACCCTAAACCCCAAACCCTAAACCCTAACCCGTAGAGGACCTCTCTCCTGGCAGCCCGGTTTTGGGTTTGCGGGGCCCGGAGAGCCCACCACCCCGTAAACAAGGTTTGGGGTGTAGCGTTTGGGGAATACACCTTGAATCAGAGAGCCCGAAACCCTTAAAATGAGAAATACAGCTTTATAAACTTGATCTAGGACACTTTCAAACAAAATAATACCGTTATAGGAGCCTTAAAGAAGGTTTATATACCTTATAGAAGCCTTATATAGAAGCCCTGTATACCCTAAACTCCCCACCTGTAGTTTCCTTTAACTTGATTTATGCTTAGTCTATTCGCTGGAAGTTCCATGACTGATATAGGGGCCTCAATAATTACCAATCCTGTTTTGGGGGGGTTCCTTTCGGTAAGTAAAGTATTATAGACCCCAAACCCCCTTCTAATTATCAAGGCCTCTGCATGAGGGTGGGGCTCGCCGGGCATCCTGCGAAGAATTCAGATGCGGTGCACAAAGTTCCGGGGTCGTTCCCACGAGCCCTGCTGTTGCGCTTCTCCAAATACAAGTGGTTGCCTCTTTTTGGTGAGGGTAGCAGTAGCTTGATCCCGATTACAGCTCTCGCTTAGGACGAGTGTGTTTTATTCATCAAAGGTGCTTGTCATAGGAACCCTAGACATGCGATGAGAAAGCTAAAAAATAACCAACTCCACTATCTTGTCATTGTAGTCGATTGAAGCTGCAAACCCTGACAGCCTCCCTACTCAAAGCCGGGTAGCCCTCAAATCAACCTGCAGGGAAACCTTGAAACTGAATCCCCAAGCCCTAGCAACACTTAGCCCCAAGATCTACCCTGACCTACCAGAACCTGCTTTTTTGTACGGCCCCTGTGAATTTTATTTTAGGGCTCAAGAGAAGGAGCCCCCAAAACAGATTGTCTGGTAGTTTAAGGTGCCACCCTAAACCCTAAACCCAAAGCCCTAAGCCCTAAACCCTAAGCCCTAAACCCTAAAGCCCTAAGTCGAAACCGAGCAGAGCACAGTGGAATTGACCCTGCCCTGCTCCGGCGCTCCGCAGAGCAAGGACCTGCGGCGAGAAACGCTGGGCTGTTGCAGGGGTTTCGGCCTCGGACCCTAACCCTTAGCATCAAAATAGCCCAAACGCCTCATATAGTAGGGTCTTTGGGCCCAAAAGCCTGAAAATATGAGTCCTGGGTTCAGGGGTATGCGGCTGGTGCTTCGGATGGCCCATTCGCGAGAAACCCTCTTCTAAGGATTATGTAGGAAGTTAAAACCCCTATGCCTATACCCGAACCCCTAGACCCGTCTTTTCTTTAAAGGAGCCTTTCAAGGCGCCCCAAGACAAAAACCCTGTCCGAGCTATCAAGGCCCCTAGAGAGTCCCATGCCAGCAGGCCACCGGGCGGGCAAGTGGCAACCGCGTGGCCGTGAAGTGTATCGATCTCGGATCGCTGACGGCCAAGGACGGAAGGCTAATATAGGGGTCTTAATAATTACCTATACTATTTTGGGGGTTCCTTATTTTAAATATCGTATAATGGGCCCCGAAACCCTATTCTAATAATTAAGGCCTTATATTGTTCCATACACCCAAACCCTATAGATCCTAAACGCACGAGACGACCGTTTCCAAGCTTCCGGGTCCACAGGAGCGCCACCAAGCCTCGCAGGAGGCATGTCTGCACGCGGTGTTCGCAGAGGATGTAGACTTTTATGCCTTCGGCTTGGGCTTTCGCACAAAGTTCCGGTGGGTTCAGTCTAGCACGGTATTTTACCAGGGCTGATCTCTACTAAATGAGAGCTCAGAACGTAGACGGCAATTTCATCTCCGACCAGAACCCTGAACAGCAGACCCTAAAGCATAAGCCCCAAACCCCAAACCCTAAACCCCACACCCTAAAGCCAGCTTAATACAGAGGCCGTAATGATTACCTATACTAGTTTGGGGGTTCCTTCTTATACTTATTTTAGAAGATACCCCAAAACCCTATTCTAATTATTGAGGCCCCTACGTTACATTCTGGGGAATTGGGGGGAGACCAATCCAAAGCCCGGAACTCGGCGTCACAAAGACGCAATAGAGGACCGGGGCCTAAGTAGAACACAGCTTTGGTGTAGACTTGCTAAAGCTGTAATAACATAAGGAGCCCCAAGGCATAGTTTTAATGATGGTTCAGGCATCCATATTCGACCATCAACCAGCCCTATGCCCTGTCCGAAGAAGCAAAGCTTACCTAAAGGATCATGGGACTTAGTAACTAGGGTAAAAATAGGTAACTATACATATAATTACTTATAACCTCAATTAAGGAACTTATAACCCTACTTACCAAGTCCCATGATCCTCCAAGTAGCTTTTTGTTCCCAATCGCTGCACTCTGGAGAATCAACCTTGACGCACAGGCGTATCTGCTGCGCCGGGTGAAGCATCCCCACATCGTGAGGCATCGCACCGAAACACAAACCGCAAACAAGCAACGAAGCTTGAGAAGTTGATTGGGCTTGCGCAGGGATTGCAGGCTCCGCGTGAGTTGGGATTTCTTCTGGCTGCTGGCCAGCTGTTCGAAGCGCTATGTTATTGCCACCATTGCACCTCTGCTACCGTTACATGATCTACTGCAACCATTCCGCCGCTTCGTCACGACTATGAATCCGACCGTTACTGAGAGAAGGCAGGTAACTGGTTTGGTGACCCCTCTTTTCTTCTTGAGCTACACCACCCGCCAAGGCCGGCTGCTCTGTCGGCTCCAAATTCATGGACAGCTTTTGTCATCCCTTCGTAACTTCGTAACCCCAGGCCTTTAACCGTCGACTCCGAAGCCTACATCGTAATGCATTCCTTAACTTATAAACCCTAACCCCTAAACCCTAAACCCTAAACCCGGAGGTTCTTCGATTGCATCGTCGGCGCTCAGCAGATGCACATAGCCGGCTCCTGAGTAACGTAGCAGCCAAGGTGGAACTTGCGAGTTGCTTTTGGGTTTAGGGTTTAGGGTTTAGGGTTTAGGGTTTAGGGTTTAGGGTTTTAGGGCTTAGGGGTTTAATTGGGGTTTAGGGCTTTAGGAGTTTAGGGGTTTAGGGGTTTAGTGGCTTTATTAGGATCTAGGGGTTTAGGGGTTTAGGATTTAGGGCTTAGGGCCTAAGCCTTAAACCCAGGGTGCAGTGTGTAGGGGTTGAGGCATTGGGGGGTTTTTGGGACTTTCAGGTTTCCTTCAATGGTTCCTTTAAGAGCACGGCTACTTCAAGAATTCTACAGGGTAATGTGTGGGGGTTCAGGTCTTACAGTTTCAGGGTTGCAGTTGCAGGGGTTTTGCGTTTTGGCGTCTAGGCTATTTAGGGGTTTTAGCTGTTTAGGCTTTGTCGCCTAAATCCTTGCAGTAATCTGTTTAGGTACAGATCTTATGTTGGAGATTCAGAGGAAACAGAACCCCCCGATATCGACTATGAAATATGAAGACCCGTGCACAAAAAACAGACCCGGCAGCAGAGACCAAACCCTAAACCCTAAACCCTAAACCCTAAACCCTAAAACCCTAAAACCCTAAACCCTAAACCCTAAACCCTAAAACCCTAAACCGTATTTCAGAAGCCTTCATGTCGAAGTTCAGAATGCTTTCAGGGGCCGGAGTAGGTAAGATCTGGTGAGGGTATTCTTGGGGCGTCCTTATGGGGACACCACTAAGAATGAGCTGATTGCGCATGGTGCTCCCACTAACTTCCACCCTGAACCCTGAACCCCAAACACTAAACCCTCCACGGGTGTAGTCTGCCAAGACAGGTTGCTGACTGCCTACTTGGAGGATCTGAAGTCCAAACACAATCATACTTTGTAATGTACCTTAGAACCCGATTCTAATGTTGAAGGCCCCTAAATGGGGGTTTCCGAAAATAGGGACCGTAATATAGTACCCTAAATACTAGGATCCTTATTATAAGGACCCCAAAATAAGGTACCCCCAATTTTCGGAAACTCCCAAATCTCAACGTCATCCGACACTCTTTCCTCAAACCCAGCCGTCCGCCCTAAGCACGTGCGGCTCCGGATTCAGTGCTTGCTTGCGGGGATCTATTGACTCAGGGTGTACAGTGCAGGGATCCCCATAATCCTACAGTATTAAGTGCTTAGTGGTCAAGTAGAGTTGAGGGTTTAGGGTTTAGGGATAACTAGGCGATCTTTAGACTTTCCGGGGCTCCATCATCCCTATATAATCCCACATCTTAACCTTTGGTTCAATAACATATTGGACAAGTTTGCACTTTATTCCATGTTACCGACACTTGTCACTCAGAGCCTCCAAGTAAGATCTGCGTCGGAGGTTATGCAGCTGATGGAAGGCGGTGACTTGGCAAGCGCAGGGACCTCAAATCTCTTGGAGCTCTGGCTGTGCTTTTAGGGTTTAGGGATGGGATGGGATGGGGCTGGGTTAAGGGATACACGAATGAAGGGAGCCAGTGTCAAACCATCTTCCGTGGGCCTCTTGGCGAGACCAGGCTTTGCATGTAGTATTGCATTACGGTCGTACGAATGCACGGTAGAGCAACAGAGAAGCAACTGACCTTGCAAGTAGCATTCCAATGTAAGGCAGCATGGCGCAACAAGAAGTCTAGAGTAGTATAGGGTAGGCAAAGGCAGAAAAGTACGGTGCGGGAAAGTATAGACCCCAAAACCCTAATTTCTCGGGTTTAAGGCTCAGGGCTTTGAGATTGGGGTTTGGCGTTTCGGGTTTGGGGTTTGGGGATTTGGGTTTAGGGAATTGGGGTTTGGGGATTAGGGTAACCCTAAACCCTAAACCCTGAACCCTAAACCCTGAACCGGGGTTAGGGGTTTGGGGTTCCGCGATTGCGGTTTAGGGAGTAGGGTTTAGGCAGTCGGGATGAGGGGTTAGAGTTTAGGGTTTAGGGTTTAGGGTTTAGAGTTCAGGAAGGGTTGTGGCTTATTCCAAGTTCCCCGGCGCCCTACAGCCCGGAAACCCCGACCGAACACGGGAACATCAGGCAACCCCGTCCCCAATTCTCAAGTCGAGTCAGCAAGGACCGCAAGCACAACCTCACGCAGATTCTTTTGTTTCCTTTCGATGATCTCAGAAGCTTTTCGCTTAAAGTAGCCCCCTATTGTTCCCTAAACCCTAAACCCTAAACCCTTTAAGTGTGCCCCTTTAAGCCTCCCCGATCCACAGGTCATCCGCCGGTGCCGGGACGGCGGACAGCGGCCTATGGAGGCCTGAAGAAATTCGTTCACGGGGCTTCGGGTTTAGGGTTTAGGGTTTAGGGTGGGCTTAGAGCTTTTTCCTGTGCAGGGCTTGAAGGTTTTGAGCATCGGGTTGCAATTGGGCTACCGATTTCTTTTTGGAGATGATGGCCCAGTGGACTCGTGATCGTAGTGATGGTGGTGCGGCCTGAAATGCGATTTTCACTTTTCTGCTGTCTGCGGTTTTGGATGATGTCATGTCCCCGAACCATTACATTCCCTGACGTGGGCGCGTGGATTCGAGTGTCGGGGCCTTGGATAGCATAGTAGCATGAATGTGGTCGACGGGGTTTGGGGTCTAGGATTCACGGTGATATTCACACACACAACCCCCCCCAAACCCTACTCTATGTAGACCCCCTGACAAGTCAGCCGTCATATCCCATCTGCAGCCTTGCCTTGCTGTGGCTCATCCAGGCTAGCATCTGGCGCTGGTTTGGACCTCAGTTTGGGGATTAGGGTCTAGGTTCGGGTCTGGGGTTTAGGGCCATTGAGACTGTTGAAGCTGTTGAACCCTGACTGGGATGTAGAATGGGCGAGGCCAGTCACACAAATTGATGGTATAATGCCCTAAACCCTAAACCCTAAACCCTAAACCCTAAACCCTAAACAAAACCCAATGGTTCAACGCCCTTAAGCCTCGAGCAATAGACTGAGCCGAAGGCCCCCAAACCACGACAACAAAGTTGAAGTTGTTGAATGTTCCGTCTGTTCTCCGATGTGCTTCGGGCTACATTAGAGTTTAGGATTTAGGGTTTAGGGTTTAGGGTATAGAGTTTATAGGGTTTAGGGTTTCGGGCTACATTAGAGCCAGGAATTGTGAATAGTCTTGCAGCACCTATCATAGTTGCGCTTTAACATGCCCCAAAGCCCTCTTCCAACTGTTGCAAGGCGTCTAGGGTTTAGGGCTTCGGGCTGTCAGGTAGCCTCCCCAACATTCTACTCAGATGATGTTTCTTTAGGCGAAACATGTCGCGCCAACACTAGCACCCCAAACCCCTAAACCCGAAGCCCCAAAAGTCATAAATCGACGGAAGCCCGAAGTAAATAAACGCTAACCGCTAAACCCTAAACCCTAAACCCTAGGCACTGGGCCATAAGCCCTCTCTACCTCAAGCTCAGTCTGCCTTAGGCTTTCTATAGAAGCATAACTACGACATTATTCCTTAGAGTTTCTGATTGATAATGTGCCACCAACACCCTATTGTGATTCTGAAGGCTTCTATACTCAACTGCTTAAAGTAACCGAACCCTTGGAGCAACCCCGATTGTAGACCCCTTTTACCCTCGAAGGATCCTTATTCTAAGTATGGCCGCTATGGCAACCCTAAACCCCCCGCAACTCGAGGCTTTTGCAGATGGCGCGGGCTTTGGCCTATTTGCACAAGGCTTTCCTCGTTACTACAATGGCTTACTATGAGGGTATCAGAAGGGTTTGGGGAGGTTGTGGGGCTTAATATAGGGGCCTAAGTAAGTACCTATACTATTTTGGGGTTCCTTATTATATGCACAGTATAATGGGCCTCAAAACCCTATTCTAAATATTTTGGCCCTTACGATACATAAAGTGTTTCGGGTCATGAGGTTGCAGGCTACATGCAGTACGCGCTCAACAGGATCAGTTCTCAGTCTACTCTTAAGTTGGGCCAAAGCCCCATTTAAGGAATCAGGTTTCGAGATATTAGAACCAGTAGTTTGACAGAGCCACATTGAAGCTTAGCTGCTAGCTTTCGTAGCCGCATCAAGTTTCACCTGTGAGATGAGGGCCCGCCGACTCTGTTCTTAACTGCTGTGCTGCTCAAGCATGGCAGTATGCTTACGGCATAGCATCATGGCACACTATGGTGCTTCAACAGTCGAATGTAGTCTGCCTCAAAAAGATTTCATTGATTCCCGCGGCTGATTTTAAGTATGTGCATGGCCCGAATCGAGACAGGTCCTGGGTCTCAGAAGGGGATGTATTTGCCGGGTTCTTGTTGAGGAATCAGGGGTTTAGGGTTTAGGGTTTAGGGTTTAGGGTTTAGGGTTAAGGAATCTAATTCCAATTGCAGTTACCAGGATCTGTATTAGGTAATATGCTTTCCTTATAGTGGTAGCTTCAGTGAAGTGCCTTAACAAGAACCCAGTTTTTAAAGGAGACTATCATCTCCAGTGTAGCTGGCCTCTGAGAATCTGCGGCTTCTGCTAGCAACCCTTGGTGAAACAGGAATAGAAATATCCATCTACGCTGAGACAGAAGCTTCATAAGTTGATGACAAACAGCTTGCGACTCAAAGCCTGAATAAACCCTAAACCCTAAACCCTAAACCCTAAACCCTAAACCCTAAACAATTACCTATACAGTTGGGGGGTTCCTTCACATAGTTAGAGTATACCATACCCCAAAACCCTATTCTAGTCATTCAGGC